TATGAGTGTTCATGGGTTGGTTCGATTCGGTTGTAGTTTGTTTTGCCAACCAAATCGACCTGGTCAGGTTGGGGAGTTGGTCACTTGAAACCAATTAACCATTAGTGAAAACTAGCCAACTTAGGTCATATCGATTTGGGTCGATTTTTGATTTGGTCAATCGGTTCAAAAGATTTAGATTTAAAAAATTAAATTTAATTTAAAAAATTATGATGACATTATTAAAAAATAAATTAAAATTAAAAAATATATAAATTTATGTTATAAAAATTATATCATAAATTTATATTTAAAATTATATATATAGTAAGGTCATTCAATTTTGGTTAGTTTACAAATGGGCAAAGCGAAATTGATCAAACTTGGTCGGGTTGGTTGGTTTTATCAGTTTGATGAACAACCATAGATGAAATTAATTATTGTTATTTCTGTATTGTAAAAACTTATTAAAAGTAGTATATAAAATACAAATAATTATTAATTATTTAAAACGTTAAAATTATAAATTAATTGTATACTCTTATATGTTTCTATTGTTTAGGTTCTGCTTAACAAATCATACGAGTCCCCACTAGTATTATATATAAAGGGCAGTTGATTAAAAAATCTAAAATGACCCAAGAGCTTGGCAGAGGTCCAATGTGGCTTTTATCATCTAAAGCTTGATTAATTAGAGATCGTTTTACTTTAGGAGAGGGCCACCTATTTATATGTGTAGAATCCATAAAAAGAATATTACTGTGTTTTTTTTTTTTGAGCACCCCAATAGTAATAAGATAATTTTTTGATTCTCACATGGACCAGTTTCCAGTTTAGCTTGTTGGGTCAAGGACAAGTGTCCCACTAGATAGGGTTATACGTCCCATATTTCTTAATTACCTAGCCAAACTATTGACCATACCAACCATGTGTTACATTTGATATGGCCAGGAATTTTTTTAGGGGGGCCAAGTTAAACAAGAAAATGAAATGTTATTCTCTCATTTCATGTTTTATCTACTGAGAACATCCTGACCACAACATACTGCAGTCACACATCAGGAACACCTCCCATTCCATGAATGACAAGATACAAAAAATGTGAGATATTCCTAATATGCGACTCTGGTGTGTTATGGTTGGCATATGTGTGGTCGGCAAACTTAACAGAAGAATAAACGCTCCTCATTTGTCATATTCTCATTTGTCAATTGGACGGATCGCATTCAATATAAAAAAGTTGAGAAGTATATCATTCAAGGTACCAATCAATTATTATAAATTGAACGGTTGAACAAATTTGACTCCCTATCAACTTTTTACAACTACGATTTTTTTTTTTTTCTTTGGGTAGAACTGTAAAAGAAAAAAATATCTTTTGTCTCGACTGTATTTTCGAAGCGTTGCTTATCTGACCCTTTCAATGGTGAATCTGATTATGAAAGCTGGGGCAATTTGGTAAAACTAACGATATATATATATTATAAATTTTCACTGGTGCAAAATCATAGCAGTGCAAATAATTTGAATGTAAATTCTGACCAATTTTAGTTTATTTTATTTCATTATGGTACAAATGAAATAAATGAAGACATGAAGTAGAATAAAGTAAAATTCAAAACAAAATTAAACAAGAATTTGCATTTTTTACATTTGCACTCCCATGCATTTGTACTAGTGCAAATAAAATTGCACTGCAATCAAACACAGCCTTTGTGTTTAATCTTTAGGCTATGTTTGGTTGCAGTGCAATTTTATTTGCACTATTATAAATGCATGAGAGTGCAAATGAAAAATAATGCAAATTCTAGTTTAATTTTGTTTTGGTGTTACTTTGTTTTGCTTCAAGTTTTGCTCTACTTCATTTATACTGCAGTCAAATAAAAAAAGTTAAATTTTGAAATAAAAAAAAATCATAATTTACATTAAAATCATTTGTACTACCATAATTTTGCATCAGTGCAAATAAATTCGCATTACAACTAAACACACAGCCTTACTGAATAAGTTTTTAATGAGATTGTGGGTTTTTTACGGTTGGATAGATAATCATACCTTTGAATTATCTATTTATTTATTTTAACAACTTAAAACAAAGCAATAAATCTTTAAGTTCAGCAACTTCATCCATTATGGAACAGCCTAAGAAAACATCAATATAGGTAGAACGATCAATATCTTTCATCATGGTTGCGTTTACGGATCATTGCTCATCTTACTTTTGCAGCGGTGAATGATGAAAATATGACATGTCCTCCGCCGGCACGTATTAAGTTGTTTTGTTTATTTGGGTTGTTATCTAAAATTTCCCTTCACCTTTCCATTTCTCTTAAATTTATCCTAACTCTTCAAAACAATTATTTAACATAAGATTATAGTTAGTTTTGTCATTAAAAATAAAAATAATTAATGGCCTAACTGGACAACTTATGTTAATGGTTTACTATGGTGGCCTAACATAAGGTGAGCTTTAGCTAATAATCCCCTTTTTTGGTAAATGTATTAGCTAGCTGTTTGGAAGGGCTTTGTGAGCCATTTCTGAAAAGATACTAAAAGAAATAAGTGCCCATTTGGGAGGGCTTTCATGCAACATCTTCTGGCTCTGAAATGTGAACCCCACATGGAAAGCCTAGAAGCTATGTTTAGTGAAAAACCTGGAAAACCCAACCATTATTTCATCCAACCAAGAAATAGCTTCTTCAAAGCAGCTCAGTGAAAGCAGCTTTCTGAAGCCCTCCCAAATGGGCCCTAAGAAGCTTTAATGGAGAACAGAAAGCTACAAAAATAAATAAGAAGCTTTAGTGGAGACTGGAAAGCTACTAAATCCTTTCAAAAAAACACATAAAAAAGGAAGCTACTAAAAGAAAAAAGAAGTTTTAGTGGAGAATGGAGGGACATGTAAATTCATCAAAAGAACCTTTTTTTTCTTCGCAGCAAAAACAAAGAATCATCTAAGTGATTGAACAATAGTCAAATTTGAGATTTGTGAAAATTTTCACAAAGCATTGTTATAGGCTTTCTGAGTGGATCCTACCTCATAAAACCAAAAAGTAGCAACTAGAGTAGAAAACCCTCCCAACCAGGCATTTACAGCTTGTTTCTGAGAGCTTAAATTTAACTCGGCTGCTTTGAAGAAGCTTGTACAAAAAACCTCCTTTTTTTGGTCTTTTCTTTTCTTTTTTTCTTTCCCGAGACAATTCTACAAAGAGTCATGTTACTATGACCAAATTTTGGCTTTCTTGATTGTTGAGTGAGCTGATTTATGTTTAGTTTGTTTTCTTTTAAATTAAGAAGTTATTGGGCCTTGGGCCCATTAGTCTTTTATTTTTAAAAGAATTGTAAGTACTTAGTTGAATTGCCACCCTACTAGGGGCATCTTTGTAATATCTCATATTTAAGTTAATTATAAATAGAATGAGGGACTGGCGGCTAGGGTTATGCATCACTATCCTAGTCGATCTTCTTCTCCTTTTCTCCCCTTTCCTCTGTCTATTGCTGAAACCCCCAACTTTCTCATCTTCCTTTCACAAGAAGCTTGACCGAAATCAGCACATAAGGCTTTCCACTTTGATATCTTAGCAAACACTGTTTATGGGCTTTTTGGATGGGCCTAACAAGCGCCCTCCTAAAGAGGCACTGTGTCACTTGTTTTTTTGCAAAAACGCAATGATGATCCAGGAATGCAAGCAACTGGCCAGTGAGGAGAATCTGCCTCTAAGTTAAAGTGGTATTCATCAAAATTCATGGAGAGTTTTGATTGACAAAAGCTCCTCTGGTATCATGACTGTTAGTAGAGGGTTTGGAGTGCATTCGGATCCAGTGAAACATCATTATTACATTTATCAATCAATGTAAACTCTTAGGCTCCATTTGAAAGGAGTACAAAATGCAAATACAAATATGTACAATACAAATAGATAAAAAATAATACAAAATACAAGGTTTCACTCTATATATTTGTATTTGTAAAGGTTTTACACTACATATTTGTATTTGTACTCTTTCCAAACTGAGCCTTAAAAAACATGTCTTCCTCATTGAAATCTATAGCTTGTATTTCCCAAGTCCATCCATCACCTCCTTCAGGCCATATTTCTTCAATCGTTTGAGTAATACCATACTAATAAACTCTTCCCGAGTGCTCCTTATCAATCCAATAACCTTGAAATTAGGTTAGAGATGCAATTTGACCTGTCCCTGCAGGGCCCCACTCTACTGATTGAGGTTCGGGGATGGTATTTGTCCACCCCACCCCAGCCTTGTCATGGAACCCGCCCCAACTATATTATGTAACATTGGGGATCCCTATTCCCCATGAGGACGGGAATGGGGTTAGAATTTCTTGCCCCGCCTCGTTGCTATTCCTATTGTCCCTATCAAGTTTGGGGGAAATTAATAACCACTAAGCATCATTCACCAATTATAGAAAAGACCAATAGGTTTCGGTTTCATTTATTCTATGTTTGGTTTAAAGGAAAAAAGTAGGGAAAGGAAAGGAAAGGAAAGGTAGGGAAACCTATAAAAACCTTGTATGGTTTGCCTACCTTTTCCTTCAAACCAAACATAGCTTTAGTGATTCATCTGACAAAAAGTATCAAACTAATTACAGAGCTTGATCTGCTACACACAAAGATGCTACTGACACCTACCCACAAGACATTGCAGCCACACATCTGGAACATCCATACTTATATGTTGTCATTCATGGGAAGATGTTCACAATGTACGACTTTAAGTGTCTTATGGGTTGAAAATCCAAACTCCTAGTTATATGCTCAAGCATGTTGATACTTTGAACCTGGATTTTGATGACCACTCTCTCAGAAATAGTGAGACATTCGGTCACAGTTATATTTCCCCATTTATCAAATAAACAGTGGACTTGCAGGAAGGGTTAAAGGTGGAATATGAAACTAGCATAAATGGATATGTTAGGTGATGGAATATTATGAGATGGATGCAAAGAGCAAAGTATCCATATTGAGATTTTTAGCAGTAGATGTGGAAACCACGTATCAAACTGGGCAATAGGTGAAATTTAGATTTTTAGCAAGCATCGATTGTTGGAATACCGAATACATGAAAATCACATATTGAGATTATCGTACCTTGTTCCTGGGATGGATGTATGAGATATCACCCGGTCAATGTTTTTCACTTGAAGAAGCTAAATCCTTGCCATCAAGATTGATATCTTGTTCAAATAGTATTCAATTGAGTATTTATACCATTTTAAAACAAGGGAAAAACAAACTCGGCTATTAATCAAACTACTAAATAGGATTAATTTACTATACTTGGATGACTTGGCCGCGAACAAAATTATAAGCCGAAATTTCTTGAAATGAGTTTGTCTCCATGTAATGTAATTTTCCAGCAACCAGCTTGAAATATAAAAACAGAAGACTTTTTGGGAACCGCTGCAAATGACATAAACAATCTCATGAGTCCCACAAGTGGCTCATCCAACTCTCTACATGATTATCTAATCCCATTCAAATATGGAAGAAACAAATAAACAGTAAATAAGTTTAGTGCTAAAATTGACTCAAAATGCCCACTTTTCCATAAATTCTCATACATGACGCAAAAGAACAATTGTAGATTCTTCATTTTAGAGTATAAAAAATTTTGCAAAAAAAAAAAAAAATCAGATATAGGACATATATTAGGATTGAATAAGCCTTCCTCGTAGAGGGCTTCCATTCAAATAACATGTACCAAAACATTTCTGGAGCTCTGGGAAATCCTTATTCCTCTTACAAGCAATACTGTAGTATTCACAAATACAAAATCATTAATGATATATCACCAATTTTATTAGAACTCGATTTCTTCAACATGCTCACTAAAAGAAAGTGGAAAATAGGAACATACAGCAATTTGAAGGAGATTTTGACATTTTCTCCTTATTGTAACAAAATATATGAATAAAGATTTGGAAAAAATAAGATATTTGGCTTCTCTCAGAAGTCATAGCCCCTCTTTTGAGAAAAAGGGCAGTTTAGGAGATAACCACAAATGTCAATGTATTTCGGAACCATATCACCATGGCAAATGTGCTTTCTTTTTATTTTTAATGGATATACAAATAGATGGTATCTTCATGAATATGTTCATTTGCAAGTTTTACTCACGGCATTTATACATTCATTTTGCTAGTTGACATATAAAAGTTCATAGGACTAAGCAAATAAATTAACATTGTTACCAATAATTAACACAAGCACATCAAAATCAAGTCAAACCATTATTTCCCTTACCATCAATGAACATTTAAGTAATATGTGAACAAATAAGATTATAACTTAAAATCAGAAGCGAAATACCTCGGAGCTTATTATCTTGTGTGATTATTCCAAATGTTTCAGCAGTTTCTCTAATCATGATGCCACTAATTCCACTGAAAGCAGTTACTTTACACTCGGCAACTACAAAAAAAGATAAATAAATAAAAAATAAGATGAGAGATCCATCATTACCCAATATACATTAAACAAAGTATAGTAGTTTTTTTTTCCTTTTTTTGATAGGAGTATAGTAGGTTAATGTTACTAAAGAAAGTTTGGCCTATGACATTTTATCTACATATGCACAAAACTTATATCATTCTATTAGTGGTTCACCTCTTGTAAGGTCATTAGGCCCTAGTCTAAAGATATATCATATATAAATAAGCTATCCAACCATCCATGCCAATGCAAAATTGAACAGTGATTTGGACAACCACATAATAAGTGATAGGCATCCAAGACAATGCTATGACACTTTAAGAATGTCCATTGTATGAGTTTTGAGCTCAGCCCAATGAAAGAGGATAAACCTAGAGTGATGCTAAAGATAAAAAATTGGTACATTTGTATCACTTCTAAGATTGAGGAAGTGGTCCACATATTGGATGGCTCTAATTTGTTCAGAAAGGGGGGAACAATTTTGTATTTGTGGCATGACAAAACTCATATCCTTCATGCTCAAAAAACATTTCCTCAAAAAGAGCTTTTGATATATGATTAAGTGGAAGTTACTGCAAAGTTCTAACATATAACCTAGAAGTATAGCACCATGTAAGTCTGCGGTAAGAAAACACTGCGCCAACTCGCTTTTCCTGCAATATTATATGCAAACAAATATGATAAGAAATGGTTTAAAAAGCAAAGTATGTACACTAAATGGGAACAAGATAAGCAGCAAGGCAAGAATAACAGAAACTTCACAGTCACAACAATGTTACGCATCCACTAGAAATATCTCACCCCATAATCTTAACAAGTTGCATGATATAGCCTTTCCACATTTCATGCATTGACTTGAAAATATCGAATCTGCAAGAGAAACCCAATGGACAAGGTTGAAAGTGATTGAAGAGAAATTCAAACAAAAGTAAAATTAAAGAGTTAAAGAATTGTTTATTTTTCAATTTCCACAGCATTCTGAAATACCAATAAATTAAGATTCATGAACCCTAACTAACTGGAACTATTGTCATTTTCATCCATCTTCTGGAAGAACAACTAAAATGGCATAAATGCTGATCAAGCTGTATTCTAGAGAGTCCAAATGCTTTGCCACTCGAGTAGAATGAGAGTAAACGAAAATTCATTTTGCCCAACAATGACCTTGACCATGACCTTATGGGCCATGTGTGCAACATACATCTGGGAAGCCATGGGTCCTCACACCAAACATATCAGTTTTCATCAGTCCTCTGTTCTCCTCGTAAGAAATAGAAATGAATCTATTAATAAGATAGAGATCCCTATAGCCGATGCAGCATAGAGAAGCCACTACCTGATAGTCTTGTTTATATGTGGACTTCACAAGCCAAAGACTAGAAAAATAGGATACGACTGAATAGATCCTAGACACAAGTCTTAATAAAGAATTAATCAGATAAGAACCAATGGGAAAGAGAAGCTTATAAACTTCATTTCTCTCTCTTAGATGATGAAAATGCTGATTTATAAATTATGGAAGTAAGGAAATTGGAACTGGGGATGCACAATGGAAGCTTATCTTAGTTGTGTGAAGGCCTGAAGGGGCCGAATTTCAGAGCAAATGTATGTTGACAGACTTTTGTAGATGGTTCAAGCACAAAAGTTATATGTCATTTTGGAATATGGACACTACCAGTACCATGGACTCTGGCATGATATATCTCACTTCACTCTTTATTCTTTTCATATTTGCATGCATGGCATAGACTAACCTACTACAGGAAGTTCCTAGTAGCAAGATATATCAATATCTATAACATTTTCTTTTATCAGATATCATTATCAACAACATCACTCAGATGTATGTGATAAGATTCATAGAGAGTCCCTATATCCCATTATGCTTCCACCAGTAACTGACAATATTTGAATTACACAATTCAGAAAAGTTAATACCAATGCAGCTGACTTAATAAACTTGCTTTTTTCACATTCTTTGATTTACAAACACATACATTCTCTTTGTATCTCCCCCTAGCATTAACAGAATAGAAGTTCTGTCCTCTTGATTCTTTTCCCCATAGGCTATGTAACATTTCATTCTACTTTTTTTGTTTGATTTTATTATTGGTACTTTTATTGTTTATTACTCTTTTCCATGTGGTACTACTTCTACTTCTAAGGCTTGATAATTGATACTTCAAGTTGGGAAACAAGCCAAGTCATTTAAAGAAACCTTGGAAAATGTAACCAAGCTTTTTTATGAGAAACTATTGCCTAGGCATGCCTGGATTGGCACCTATCCTCATCTTAGTGCCTTGACACCTATTATATTATAAATAATGAAAAATAATAACTATCACATTATATATAAAGTGTGATAATATAATATAATATACACAGATCATTTTAACTTGGAAATCTCAGTTAGGGCATTTCCTGTCCTGAATAAAAAAGGAATATCAAGGCAGATCTCTGTTATGAACTTATTATAAAGAAAAGCAATCAACTTTGAGATATGGAGGATTGGCCTATACCTACAAAATTTTCAGGATCCAAACACTCTTTATCCAAACTCATACAAAATTTAAACAGGACATTTACACCCCTATGTGCTTTCCCATAAGCAAAGCAAAGTAAGTTGAATTTCAAAAAGTCAATTTCACTAAGGAGCATCTCCTTTGGTCAATAATACATGGTAGACTGGCATGGTAAAAAATAACAGCTAATACGACAGTATAAGGTAAAACTGAAATGCCTTACATGACAGAACTAGGTAATAAGAGAAGAGAAAAACTGGGTTAAACGAACAAATAAAGCACAGTATTGAAGGCAAAAGTAACTATATGCTAGCTACAAAGAAACCATAAAGCTTACCTATGAAACTCTGAGGGTAGATCAAATGACCCACACTTCTTAAGTTGCTTCATTGACATATGACTTTTGGAACGTTTTGAATGACTCTGTAAAGCCCTGATACGAGCACTAACTGATATACCACGACTTTGTACAAAGTTATCAAGAAGGATCCAATTGTCTATTTTCTTGCTTCTAGATCCCTGCATGTACTTCTGGGCCGAATCACCACTTTGGAGCAGTTCATGTATAACATTATCAACTGTTCTCCCTTTTTTACAAGATAGCTGCATTTTCCATGTATATCTCAAATATAAGGACCAAAATAGCTATTATTTCTTGTATTCATGCTGCCTATGAAGAGAAATGTCACCATACAAAGTTTTTCTTGTATTCTTTACAAACGCATGTTACGCATCTTGCACTAGACATCTGGAACATTGTCTGGGGTCCCATCTGGGGTCAACTGAACTGATACAACGTGCCAAATGTGTGGTCTAGTGATGTGGTTATAAGAAGTACAAGAAAAAACAGTGTATCTGTAGCATTGCTCAGCTATAATGCAAATACATACCTCAGAACCAGAACTAAGCAGGTTTCCATGTAAAGGTTGACAAAGATGAGAATATGTAAGGCCGTCAGCTTCAACATCTGTACAATATAAGCACCTTAGAATTGGCCGGCTGTATTCCCACTCTATAAACCAGAAGCATGCCAAGAACATCTACCTGGTACTCGAGGAGTTCCTCGTGAAGGAGTACGACTAGAGAATGCAAAATGGCCTGAAGTTTGACTGAAAATCAGTAAAGCTTAAGAATATAAATGTATGTGCTTTTATAAATTTATGCGGGCACATTATAACAAAAAATATACAGTCAGCAAAGCGGAGGTTGTATCAAGACCTGCAAGGCATATAAGTAACCAATAAAGTCACCAGTAGACAGTCATGGGGGCAGAGAGAGAGAGATCATAATCGCCTGCAAAACAACACATGTATCCATGCCAGAAGAATACATTGACAGTGCAAGTTATCAAGGTTCAAAATTACTTCCATCCAAATGTAGGGAATAGTACTGTACTTAAGGCTCAGTTTGGAAAGAGTACAAATACAAGTACATACAAAATACAGGGTTTTGCACAATTGCACTCTACATGTTTGTATTTGTACTCCTTCCAAAGTGAGCCTAAGGATTCACTCAAATGACCCTTAAAGTAGTAAAATGATAACTAGTTTCAAGCAATTTCTTTCATAACAAAGACATAACATTTTTCCCCTCCAGTATAACAGAATCAACCTAAAAATCTAATCACGGCAATAAGATAAAAGTGGTGACCATGTTCCACCCACTCTACAATCATGTCTCAATCGAGGTTCATAGGGGGTGTTCTAAAGTTTTAGATGACTTAGGAATAAACAAAGTTCCCTAATAGTTTTCTAATTTACTTATTTTTTCCAGCTTCATTGGGGATTTACCCAACTTTAGAAACAACAAAACAATATCATAATTTGCAATAGATAATTAGAAAAGCAAAAAACAAACAGGAGAAAAAGAAAGAGAAAGAGCTGGCAAAATATATACGAATCATAATCAATCAAAAACCCTAGAGAGCAAGCATAAAGTATCCAAGCATAAAAAGGAAGAAGGTATAAAAACCTTTCTTGGAAGATTGCGTTGAATAAGTTATAACGGGTGCATCATGAGACGATGTGACAGAAGAAGAATTATTGTTATGTCTTATTTCTTCTTCTTCTTCACGAGACCGCTTTCTACTCTTCTGTTGCTGTTGAAGAAGTTCGGCTTTAGCTACTGCAAATCTCCTCTCCAATGCTTCCAACGTGCGTCTCTTCTGATCTGAAACGCTTTGATTTGTATCAGTTGCCATGGCAAACCAGGCCGTATACCCTGCCCCCCACCCGCCAAAACTAACGCCATCAGCTTCTTCAAAACATGTATAGTGCCCGTTCGGGAGCAATACGGATCTGATACCCTCAGTGTGGGTAGCGTTTGGGGGTCATAAATCGGGGCGTGCTGCCCGCGGCCCGGCATGACGGTCGGCGGGGCCTCAGGTTTTAGGTCTACAGGTCGGCATGCCACAGCACAACCAAGCGGGCTGTGCCGTCCGCAGCCCATCACGGCCCGTGACACGGCCCATATATATATAATATATTAATAAAATATTTTTTTAATTTTATTATACTAATTTATTTAATTATTGTATATATAAGTAATTTGATACATAAAATTCATATAAAATTAAAATTTTAAGTTTTTTATCAAATTTTTTTAAATAAATAGCTTTGGCCCGATACATAACCCGACCTAGCCCAAGGCTCGACCCACAGGCCAGCCCAGCCCATGGCATAGTATGGACCCATATGGGCCTGGGCCATGGGTTATGTCAAGCCGACCCCCAAATTTTTCACTAGGGAGAGCAGCAAGACCCGCACTTTGCATGGGCCGCTCACGAACCCCCTCTTTAAACTACACCTCTAGTCACTCTCTGGCTTTTGGCTTTGGGAGGTGGGGTTCGGTCCATTTGAAAAAGAGTAAAGATCATTAGGCCCTAGTGATTAATTGAACGCAGGGGGCTTCGTTGTTTCGTCAAGCATGGTAAGACTGCGTTTGGAAGTGGTGTAAAACTCACACCAAACCGTTAAATGTGTTTATATGTAGTTTTTACATTGATAATTGATATAAAATCTTATCATAAATGACGTTTATATTGATTTATAATGTATAAAACTCTATTCCATCCAAACACTTACAAACCTAAATCAAAGTAGAGTTTTACATCGATGTTGATTTATACTCCAAATAAGCTTCGACAAAATTAAACCAATAGTAAGCTTTTACATCGATCAAGTTTTACACTTCTTTTAAACGCAGCCATATAGGTTGTTTGGGCAGGCCCACTTTGCAAAGCTGAATGCCAATGCTATGGGTGGGCTGTAGAGATGGCAATTTTTATCATACCCCGTTGGTATTTGTTATGTAGTGGGTGTTTTTTTTTTCTTTTTTTTAATTGAATGATGGTTTGGGGCAGGGACAAGTTTTGAGATTTTACAATTCGTATGGAATATAACTAAGATATATATTGTTGAAAAGTAACAAATTTTTTAAATTATCCTTATAATTTAGCTAATTGACTAATTTTAACATTACTGTTTATGTATTGTCTAATCCGATAGTTGACTATGTCCTTGCCATTGACATGCGTTAACGGAAATAATAAAAAGACTATTTTATCAATTATTATCCTTCAAATTTTCAAAACGAAGTATTAACGGATTCAAACCTATATAGTTCGACAACATCAACCTACGGAATCGTCGCTACAGTTGCCACCAACTACGTTCATCAAGTAGAAAACGGAATCACGCCCTTGAATATGAAGGAATGAATCTTTAATGCTCCACTTCCTTTCTGACGATCTATGGGGAAAAGCAAGTGAGAGAGATGTGACTACAAGGGGTTGGGCCATTCTTGTGTTACGGTGTTAGCAGTTTTGCAATACGAGGAAGAACGGGGGTTGAATCGTTTTTTTGTTACATGCATACAACTAAAAGGAGATTGAAATTGAGGTCACAATGGAGGGATTTTGGGGTCCAACAGACGGAAGTGACGATGGGGGCAAGGGTGATGGGGGAGTTAGAAGGAGCGGGGACGTCCACCAGGTGATAGGGGAGGTAGAATGAAATCCCTTTCTCCCAAATGCGTATTGCACGATCAAATCGATTATTTTCTTTTGGTAAGCATTGATTCTTGGGAGAATGACCGAGCAGCCCAGACTCAGAATTTGTAGGCCTTGGAGTGGATGTTAATGGTATTGGAGTATAAAATAGGGGTTTTTGACCTTTTTAATGTTTATAGCTCAGTTGAAATCAGAATTTTGCTTTGGACCTGTACGTACTTGTCGTTGATTCTTTGCTTTTATTTATTTTTTAACCATTAATTTATTAAATCCTTTCTGGTTTTAGTGTTGACATATCCTTTTTGGGTTTAAACCCTAAACCCCAATTTTTTGCCAATACGTGATGTAAGCTATGGCGGGCCTCTTTTCTAGTGGAGCAACTCACGGACGCACCTCTGCGCTCTTGTGGTTTATCTCTCCGATCAAGGTCACCAACTTTGGAGCTAGAGTTGCAACGCCGATAGAAGGATAACTATTGCCCGAGTATGGCTATGATCAGTCATCTCAATAAATCTGAATCGTGTTTTGGCCTAAAACGATCACTGCAACAGGGGGTCTCAGTTATTATCGTCCCGAACCATTCTTTTTTTCTCAAACTGCAATGCTGACTCGGGCTTGTAACCAGGAGATTAGCAAGAAGAGGCGACATTTTAGGTGGGAATTTTGGTTAAAAGAACGATAAGAAAATATATTAGGTGGGAATTTTGGTTAAAAGAAGAACGATAGGAAAATATATTTAACTGGTGGCCATCATCACCATATCAGTTCGACCAATGAAGAAAATCAGGGGTGCGGTGATGCTCTGTTTCTCCGCTCATTATAGCCGTGGGTGAAGAGAACGATAGAGATGGAGCCACCGGAGGCGTCTTTGACTTTCTCGGGAAGAGATAGGGCCACACCAAATAAGAGGAGCAGAACGAGGGACGAAATGAGAGAAGAACCACAGCTTAAGGTTGCAGCGGCGACAATACCTTCGTCGATAGTCCGGGAAGGAGGTGAGGAGAGAGAGGGAGATTCGAAAGGGTATTTTTTGAAATTAAAAAAAAAAAAGAGAGAAGTATCAGTCACAGTGACGTGATGTTATATGTGATCAAATGTTAGGGAAAATTAAGCTTAGGGATATTTTAGGATAATTTATAAACAATAAGACTTAGTAATGAGAAGGATAATCTAAAAAATTGTCGTAAACTTTATTATGTGTTGAACTTAATAATATTTTAATTTTTTTGTGAGTGATAATTGATAGTTTATTTTTTACATGTTGTAATCAAATAATTGAAATTTTTGTTGTTTGCTTGTGTTATTCTATTTATTTATTGTTTATATGTAATAAAAATTAATAAGATATTAAATGCATATCCTAAACCCAATTCATCCTACTCTTGAATGTGAGGAGGATAAGGTCACGGAGGGTTTTGTATTTTTATGTGTGAAGAGGGTTTAGATTCTAAAAACCAAATTGTTATGGGTTTTGAGTAGAGATGCAAATACATCGGATCGGATTCAAATCAAGGTATATTCGAATGTGATCCAACATTGTTCTTGTTGGATTTGATCCGGTCAAATCTGATAGGACTCGATTTGAATTCGAATCCTATTTGTAAGTCGGAGCTTCGGATCTGATCCGATCTTACTTGTTTTCTTTAAAATTAATAAATTATTAAAAGAAAATTAAATATACTCATTTAAATAAAAACAAAAAATACAAGTATTTTTAATTATTTTCATCATATATACATGTTTTTATAAAAAAATAAATAATATGACAAATTTATAAAAATATAATATAAATAATACTTATAAATAAATAAATAGCATATATATGTATTATATATATATATATTTATAAATACATAATATATATCAGATTGGATCTTCTCGTATCAGTTAGGGGTGACCTGAATCCAATCCGATTTCTGGTTGGATCATTTTATCCAATCCAATCCGAAAATCCGAATAGAAATTATTGAATTTGACCAAATAGGATCGGATTTGGGATCAAGATCCCACTCATTTGCGCCCCTAGTTCTGAGATAAGTATAAATTGAGATAATTAAGGAGACAAGTAGAGAATGTAATTTACAAAACCCTCCCCAAATCAGGGCTTTTGCCATCCCTAATGGGTTTGGTGTGAATTGACTACCGACATGATTCTAAAATGCGCAGTTAGAAGAAGTTCCCTTGCTTGGACAAAGATTGAAAGGATGAGGTGGGCTTCTCAAGATTAGTCATGAAAATGAATTGTCTCCCCATATCCCCAATACTTCGATGGTGAAAGCAGCGCAAGATGGAATAATGCATTATCCCCGATACCTCTATATGGGCCGGGCTTCGGGCTTCGCGCTTGAATTTCCACTGTGTTAGGCCCAGTCTTTTAGGTCGAAAAGCAGAAATTTGGAATTTGGAATTTACAGCACTTGAAAGCAGAGAGACACATGAAAATAGGAAGGATTTGAGTTTATGATAATGAACATGGGACAGCCATGGAAAAAGCAGTTAGTACTGATCTTTACATACCCATAGTTCCAGAGGCGTCGCTCCCACAATAGAGGTGAACGATTTGCAGAGAAAACGCCCCCTAAAAGTAAACAAGAGGTCCTGCTCTCGACATTGTAACTCTGCTTGTTAAAGTTGAAATAGACCTTCCACTTAGTGTTTTTGCAGACAAACACTACATTGGGACTTCTCCTGAAAATGGATTGCAGATATTCTTCACTGCATCATTCCATTTGGAGAAGCAAACCCATCGGTGAAGTGGTGATGACCGATAAACATTCGCAACTGCAATCCGATCAAGTAGCGCCTACCATCTGGTAAGTGGTAATGGCCTGTATAATTACCCATTTATATCCTAGAAATTTGGTTATTTCGATGAACCGAGCCTCTAAACACCACAATCAAAATCGAAACTGATATTACCAAAACCGTAATTAAAAACCTTAATCGAACCGTTTACTTGAAATAATTGAATCCAAAATTTCGGTTCAGTTATTCAGTTTCAACCGAACTATGCTCACCTCTAGGTGTGAGTGCAAATCATAATTACGAACAAATGAAGGTATTGAACCAAGTACAAATTTTACACCTGGTCGAATTTTGCATTGCAACCAAATGCATGCACAGCCCAATTATCATGAGGGTGAGTAAAATCCTTCAAATTGTTGTGAATTCAGATCTCCTACCCACACTTACCCCCATGACACCACAGCTGTATATTGAGTAGGGGTGCAACTTGGGCGGGTTCAACCCAAGCCTGAAATTTTATATGGATTGGGCTTGGATTTTCGGTCTTCAGGCTAGGTTTGAGCCCAAGAAATCAAGCTTTT